AGTTGCCTGTAGATAGTAGATACTAGGTATAGTAAATATTGAAACTTTAGCTGAATTCCCTGCAGCTTCTAATTTATCGAAAACCACATGTCTATTATGGTTTCATTAAGGACTTCATACAAGTCAGGGGCAGGAAAGGTCCTCATTATTGGGCTGATTTTGCTTATATTAACAGGAAAATGTCACATGATACTCAGGCTGCGCTTTCTATCCAATCATATCATTGTAAAGGAATGTCAATAAAATCACTTTGTTATGGCATCTTGTGTTGTGCTTATTAATAACTTCTTTCCCCGCTGTACTGTACCCTCCTGTTCTGTACCCTCCAACTGCATTGGACCTGCATTGATCTTATTTCTTGCGTTTAGTGTACAAAGAATATTGAGCTGCATTCTTTAGGTGGCTTAATAGGTCGTAGCAGAATGGGGTGGCATCTGTGGACAGTAAGTATGATGGTAGCGTAGGGTTGCCAGCACTACCTCGGGAGATTTTGAGGGCAGTGCTTTCGGAGGATGGAATTTGGAGAGGATGTGATGGCACTTTCAGATGACTCTCTAGCAGGGGTCATTTCATAGAAAAAGAGCTAGGGGAACTCATTAGCATAACTCATTAGCATATGCCACACCCCCTGACATCGGGGCCCCGGCGGTGGACCTGCAGGGCGGGCGGGAGTGCGAGGAAGCCCCGCCAAGGCCCTCCCTGGCCCCAGGCAGGCAGGGGTGGGGAGAGGCGGGGAGGAAGCAACTTACCCTCCCTCTTCTCCTGCCTCCTCCTGGCTGAATGAGGGCTGGAAGCGGGGCGGCCAGAAGCAGGGGGCGGGGCTTCATCATGTGCCCCGCCCCCCTGCACCTCACCCGAGGGAACTGCGTTCCCCCACGATCCCCCCTGAAATGACCTCTGCTCTCTAGGAATTTCCCCTAATCTCTGGTAAAGACCACAGAGACATGCGAAAATTCCTAGAGCATCACTATGGGGTTTTGCTATGTAAATATTTTGTGTGTATTTTATTTTTGTGATATAATGTGGGGTTTTATATGTATGTTGCTGTGGTTTAAAATGCAGGTTTCTAAGGTAAGAAGGGGGGGGATGAATGGGTGATTGAAGTGTGTTATGGTAGGATGGTAGCTGTGCCTTAGGGAGTTGATGGGTTTTGTTCAGAGGGTTTGTGTGTGAGTAAGGAGGGAGTAGAGTGGGTGAAGAGACTGAGTGACGTACTGTGAAGAGAGAAATCTGTGTTCTTTGTGTGGAAGTGATTGGTATAAGTGGCAAGTCAGGAGAATAATTCTTTTTTGTGGATGTGATTAGTCTAAGTGGCAAGTGAGTAAAATCAGCCTTTGTGGCTAGGTCTATGGAACTTTAGAGAACCATCACACTGATGAACCATACTGAAACCATTATGCTGTTATACTTCTAAATAAACTCTATTTCTGTTTATGTAAAAATAGCCATTGTATTAGTGTGAAGGACTCCCTTTTACCTTAGAGCCACCCCCCCACAATGACCAATCTGTCATTCTACCAGATATAACTAAGCTGTCCTGTTGGGTTCAGCTAAGAAGTCCGCCTTTGGTGGCAGCAAAAATAAGTAGGAAATGCTAAGGAGGCAGCATAACACATCATTTCAAAATGCTATATGCAGGTGTTACATACAATGGATCCCAGAAAGGGACAAAACATTACAAACGTTGCAATCACTATGGAGGTCCTTTTCCAGCTGTTTTTTTTTTTCTGCTCAGCTTCTTGAAAGTCAGCAAGTGGGGCCAGGAGTTAACAAATGGCAAGCCTGTAGTAGCTATGGACCAACTTGCTGATTGTAATGCATCAAGTCCACACAACTTGAGATCCACCAAACTAAGTGCACCCCACCAACTGTGGCAGCTCACTGGAGCAGACCAAGTGTTGATGCCTTGGTCTACAAAGGGGTATGTGTGTGTGTGTGTGCATGCGTCAAGCATTTGGCAAACCACAAGACACGTAGGCTGCATCCAACTTGGTGAGTCACTAGCTGCGCAGCCTGGAAGTGACTAATTTTTTAAAATCTTATTTGGATGGACACAGAACTAATTTTCACAGCTACGGGGCATCTAATGCTGCAAGTGATAACTGTGTATGGACTTCACGTGGGTAGGTGTGACTGACAACCAAATGTGACATATACATGTCACACCACCACCAACAAGAAACGCCACAAAAACAGAACCTCTGTTAAAGATATCTGCAAGGCATGGAAAATCACACTTCCCCCCCAAAAAATAAAAGGTTCGTGTAGTACAGAAGAGAAAAAAGCATCAGAGCTCGTTTCCAATCTCTAATTTTGATTGCACTGAATATATAGATACATATAGAGATGCACATACTGTATTTAAGAGCACTTGCTGTGGTTACTTCTTATATGTCTCAACAATTAGAGATGTAAGCGCTTTAGAGGATTAAATGAAAAGCCTAAAATATCGGGTGGGGATAGTACATATAGCCTTCCCCCCCACCAGCTTGCATGTATGTTTCCTCCTATTGGATTAGATCACTTGTCTGAACACAGATTACCCTTTTATCAAATAAGCATCTCTCTAAGAGATGCTTTGGAATGGATAATACTAAATAAGCATCTCTAAGAGATGAAAGCCTCCAAGGAAAATGTACAGCAGCATTTTTCAGTGTATCATGATCATTTGACAGAATTCACAACTGAAAAGGTGCATTTATTATGATATGTAAAATTGAGATGACAGAGTTTAATTTTGTGTTTTCTATTTTAGAACATCAGTCAAACCAATCCACCAGTTGAAGTCAAAATCATTTAAAGATCAGGAAAAATTACTGACCACCTTTCAACTGTAACTGTTCTCTGTGGTGATTCACGATAACAGTTTAAAAAACAAAATAACCTAACATCAAAATGTTAACACAATTACAATATATAAAAGAGAATCTACTTTTCGGGTGGTGATGCCAACACACAAATCCTCATAACAGCTCTTCAGCTGCAAGAATAGTTTCTTGTGGGTAGCCGTGTTGGTCTGCAGCAATGCTCCCTCTAAGCTGTGGAGTCTTGTGAGCAAAAATTCTACTTTGTGAGCTACTGGCATTAGGGTTGCCAAGTCTTACCTGCTGTCGGAGCGGGGGACTCCCGGCTTCTTCCTGGAGCACGCGCACACCGCGACCACATCACCCAGAAGTGACGCAACCACGCCGGGCACGCTGGGGGCGGGGCCACGTCCATCCGAGGGAAAACCATAGAGTTTTCCCTGCAATTTGGCTACTGTATGAATTAATTCATACACCCTGGAATTCATATAGTATTGTCCTGAGCGAAGACAAAAATGTGTGAGCTGGAGGCTAAAAAACTGTGAGCTAGCTCACACTAACTCAGCTTAGAGGGAACACTGGTCTGCAGTAGAAAAACAAGATTCCTGTCCATTAGCTCCTTAAAGACTGACAAGATTTCCAGGGTATAAGCTTCTGAGAGTCAAAGCTTCCATCAGATACCTGATGAATACATTCCTGAGCATAATTCCCACAACAGAATGGGACTTACTTCCAAGCAGACCTGTTTCGGTTCTCCAGAAGAGGTGGGGCTTCAATTTCAAACCAACCGAAAAAATCACTCAAGGATTTGGATTCAGATTTTCGCTGGAAGGGAAAGTGGTAGATTAAATCATTCTCAGGCTTTGAGTTGTAAAATTATTGCCTTTTGTGATGAGCTACAGAGAAATGAAATGCCGCAGCAGTGACAGTTCCATCGGAAGGTAACATCTTGAAGTAAAGATAGTAACTACAACTAGATTCTGCAGGTACCTTAGAAAAAGGGATAGATACTTTCCAAATGGTCTCATCAACTTGACAAGTGGAGCACTAAAATATTAATTTCAACGCGTACAGAATATAAATCCGAAAGGACAACAAAAACACTCAAGGCCTTTGTCCTCTGCTCCACAGCTTTCTTCATCTCTTGCAGTAGGCTATGTGTGCCTCACCGAAGATAAAACAACAGATGCAAGGAGAAAGATTTGGGCAGTTTTCTGTATCTGTAGGAGAGGACTCTACCTCAGCGGACTACTCATTGGCTTCTGAACAGATAAAGGCATGCTTCAAAAGATGTGTTTTTTCCCTTGTGGCTCTTCCCATCATTGTCAAATTGTGACAAAAGAAGCCATCTTGAAGCAATCCCTGAAACAATCTGCAAGTGCTGCAGACTGATGTTTTTGTACTCCTGTACGCCATCCAGTCTGTCTGCATGTAAAGCTGGACTAGAAAATCCAGGTTCAAATTCCTGCTCTGTTATGAATGGGTGGCCTTGGGCCAGTCACACATTCTCAGCCTAATCTACCCCATGGGGCTGTTTAGGGGGACCAGGTCCTTCACTAGAGAAGAAGAAGAAGAGAGGAAGAGATTGGATTTATACCCCGCCCTTCACTTGAAGTCTCAGAGCGGCTTACAAACTCCTCTCCCTTCCCCTCCCCACAACAGACACCCTGTGAGGTGGGTGGGGCTGAGAGAACTCTGACACAAACGGCTCTTTTTCAAGGACAGCTGTGCCAGAGCTTGTGACTGACCCAAGGTCACATCAGCAGGTGCGAGTGGAGGAGTGGGGAATCAAACCCGGTTCTCCCAGATTAGAGTCCGCACACTTAACCACTACACCAAACTGGCTCTCAGTGGAAGACCTTCCCCCACCTCCTTCCTCTGGTCACCTGGTACAACAGTGAGAGAAAGTGGGGGGAGGAGTGATGTTGCAGCCATGGTGATACCATGGAGGGGGGGGTCTTGCTAGAGTGTTATGTAGCAAAGCCTTGACATCACTTCCAGTTATACTTCATTTTCAAATGTATTTTAATGTTGAAATGTTTTAATATTTTGAAGTCTGCCGCCTTGGAGACCCTGTTTGGGTGGGAAGATGTCATATAAAGGTTTTAAATAAATAAAATAAATATATTGGTGTCACATGGTGCTGCACAACTGACTCCACCTCCAAAAGCTCTTCTGGGTTGTTGTGAGGATGCAATGGAAGTGGGGAATATGAGGTACACCATCCTGAAAGTTCCTCGGAGGAAAACGTACTAAATAAATAAAAGTGAGGTGCCTGTACCTTTAACCATTCAATCAGGGAGGGAAATCTGGGCAGCTGGATCTTATCACACAAGGGTGAAGAGAAAAACCGCATGCCAAAAAATTTTCTCTGCACATTGACCTAGTTAGGGCAGGGTTATGCTGAGGAGGAAAAATAATTGGTGCATGCCACCCACGAGTGTCATTGCTGACTATGAGTCTAGTGGTAACTTTTAAAATAAGGGAGTCTTGTGGTACTTTAAAGTCTAACATTTCATTCCAGCCAAAGCTTTTGTGGACTAAATGCTCCTGAGTGAGCCTCACAAACCACTTTGATAAAATGACTAGTTTTTCATGGCCTCTTGGCTTAGTCTTTAAAGTGCCCCATTTAAGTGCATGGCTCCTTAAAGACCAACACTTGTTTATTCTAGGATAAATGTTTGTGGACTAAATCTACTCATTGCATCTGAAGTGAGCACTAGGAAACATTATCTTGGAATGAAATGTTGTGCTTCTCCTCCTGTTTATTTATATTTTTGCTACATCACACTGCAAATGCAATCCCCTGCAAAGACAGAGCAGTTTGAACAACTTGACTTCAGTGAGCTTAGATTGGAGTAACTGTACATAGATTGCACTGCAATGCACCTACTCTTGAAATACTACTTGGATAATTTTTGGTGGGGTAGCCATGTTGGTCTGAGGTAACAGAACGAAGTTATACTCCGAATAAAACTTTCTTGGTCTTAGAGGTGCCACTGGACTCAAACTTTGTTCAAGGTTTATTTCAACACGAGCTTTCCTGAGTCAGACCTCACTCTTTCAGACATGTGTAAAGGAAGTGATGTGGGGCCTACTTACAGAGCAAATTTCAGAATGGGGGCTCTGACTCAGGAAAGCTCGAACTGAAATAAACCTTAGCCCTTAAGGGACCCCTGGGCTTTTGTTTTGTTGCAAAGGAGGAAGAGGGCTACCCCTCAGCAGTAAGCATTTGAACCCAGCTCTCTTCTCTCGAAGCTGGACACACTCCCAGTCTGCCTCTAGCATTTGCTTTACTGTTATTCCAAACCCACACTGGAATAGAAATTCCCGTCTACATTGCATGCCACTTTCACTTTGATTGAGTGTGGCATTTATGGCAGTGTCCAGACTGCGTGCTGCTTTCACTTTGCTTGATCTCTGGTTTTATGGTGGCTGTCTGCATAGATTTATGGCTGTTTTAGGGCCATTCCGGGGTAACTGTAGTCAGTATGGTGTTTGGCCGGGGTAGTTGAATCTGGTTTTGAACTGCATCTTTTTACGTTCCAGTGTGGGTCTGGTAAAACAACTGCGCAAATATTAAATGCAGATTGGGCCACTGAGTCTCTCCCTCTCTGTCTCCAGCAGTGTTCCCTGTAAGCTGAGTTAGTGTGAGCTAGCTCATAGTTTTTTAGCCTCCGGCTCACACATTATTGTCTTGGCTCAGGAAGGATGGCTCCAGAGCAAACTAATTTATGCAGTAGCCAAATCGCTCGCTCACAACTTTAATGCCGGTAGCTCACAAAGTAGAATTTTTGCTCACAAGACTCCACATCTTAGAGGGAACATTGGTCTCCAGCACCACCCGTGTTTTGAGAAGTTTATGACAGAGAATCGGCTCCCGTCAGCTTCAGCGCGCGCCCTCTTCCGCCGGCAGGCGGCGCTTCCCAACCGCCGAGAGCCGCTCGCGCTCCCCAAGAGGCCTCGCGCCAAAGGCCACGCCCCTCCCTCCTTTTCCTTTCGCCGCCGCGCAGGTGAGGCGGTTGGGGCGTGTCCCTGCAGCTGCCTCTCCTCCCTTCCCCC